GAGCCTGATGCAGGGCTTGATTACAGGACTCTGAGATCATTACCTGAGCTGAAATCAAGAGCTGAGTGCTTAGCTGAGTGAGCTACAAGTGCATCCCTTTAAAGTAAACTCAATGCCCAATGTGGGGCTCAAACTCATGACTTCTGAGATCAAGAGTCACATGTGCCATTGACTGAGCCAATCAGGCATCCTTATATAGAACTCCTTATGTATGTATACAGGTCAAACACAATTGATGTTCCAGGAATACAAAGATATAAAGTGGTTGATTCATTCACTCAAATGGCACATTTTTACTGAGTGCTTACTAAGTGCTAGGAAATGAGGATGCATAGGTGAATATGACAGACAGTGACCCCCTACCCTCAAGAAGTTTATGATGTAGTTGGTGAGCCTAATTGAATGAGCAAACAGATTTTACAAAATGCAAACCATGGTAAAAGGAAACAAAAAATTTTTTTTGGAAACAAATTTTTTAAGAGAATAATGGACAAGACTTGTCTTAGACAAGGTAGACAGGAAGACCTCTCTAATGATGGTACCCTCTTCCTTAAAAAAAAAAAAAAAAGATTATATTTATTCCATCCATGCAGGAAGCCCAATGTGGGACTCGATCCTGGAACTCCAGGATTACACCCTGGGCCGAAGGCAGGCACTAAACCACTAAGCCACCCAGGGATCCCCATGATGATATCCTCTTCATCTGTCACCTGGACAACTACAGTAATTACAATAGCTTTCTAAAGAACCTCCTTGTTTGTGCCACAGGACATTTGCACTTGCTGTTGAAAATTCTTATCTTAACTAACTCCATGATTAGCTCCTTCTCCTCCTTCATGTCATATCAAAAGATATCCTCTCATGAAGGCTTTCTTTTTTTTTAATTTTTATTTATTTATGATAGTCACACAGAGAGAGAGAGGCAGAGACATAGGCAGAGGAAGAAGCAGGCTCCATGCACCGGGAGCCTGACGTGGGATTCGATCCCGGGTCTCCAGGATCGCGCCCTGGGCCAAAGACAGGCGCCAAACTGCTGCGCCACCCAGGGATCCCCTCATGAAGGCTTTCTATAGTCTCATCCTTAATAAAATTTCACCTACAAATTCATATCATCTGCCTCCCCACTCCCTTTTCATTTCCTCCATCTGAATTTTTTTATTCCTTGCTACTTATAACAATGTAAGCTATGAAGTACAATATGTGTGTAACAAAACACACATTCTTGAACCCACCACCCAGCCTAAGAAATAGAATGTTATCAATATCTGCTCTATGGATGGCTGCATATTTCATGAAATCCCAAAACTATAAAAAAAACTATTACCAATTACACAAGAGTAAAAAGAATGAGAAATTTTTTATGCATTGATAGGGAGTGAGCTTCACAACATATTATTTTGGTGAAATAAGCAAAGGGCACACTGTACTATAGTTTTTGTAAAAGTGGGAGGAGAGGGTAGCCCGGGTGACTCAGCGGTTTAGGCGCTGCCTTCAGCCCAGGGCGTGATCCTGGGGACCTGGGATCGAGTCCTGTGTCGGGCTCCCTGCGTGGAGCCTGCTTCTCCCTCTGCCTGTGTCTCTGCCTCTCTCTCTGTCTCTGTGTCTCTCATGAATAAATAAAATCTTAAAAAAAAAAGTGGTAGGAGAAAACATGTTCACATACATGACTTGTATATGTAGAAAATCTACCTGAGATGGTACGTAAGAGTTGTTAACATTGATCATCTCTGGGAAGGAGAACAGGGTACCTGGAGATAAGGATGGGAGACTTTTTACACTATATACACTTTTTATGTTTGGAATTCTATGAATGCATAATCTATTGTATTCGTTTACTAGGGCTGCCATAACAAAGTACCACAGAGTGGATGATTTAAACAGCAGAACTTTATTTTCTCACAATTCTGGATCCTAGAAATCTGAGATCAAGGTGTCATCTGGCCTTTCTCCTTAGCTTGTAGATGATGGTCATCTTCTCTCCATGTCTTCACGTGACCTCCTCTTTGTGGGCTGTGTCCTAATCTCCTCCCCCTCGGCCCCTCCTTCTTCTTCTCCTAATTCTTTTAAATCTCCTCTTCTTATAATAAAACCAATAATATTGGATCCGGGCTCACCCTAATGACTTAATTCTACCTTAATGACCTCTTTGAAGGCCCTGTCTCCAAATACAATCACATTGTAAGGAACAAGAGGCTAGATTTTTTTAAAAAAAGATTTTATTTATTTATTCATGAGACACACACACACACACACACACACACACACACAGAGGCAGAGACACAGGCAGAGGGAGAAGCAGGGTCCATCCAGGGGACCCGACGTGGAACTGGATCCCAGGGCTTCAGGATCACGCCCTGGGCTGAAGGCGGTGCCAAACCACTGAGCAACCTGGGCTGCCCCGAGGCTAGATCTTTGACATATTAATTTGGTTGGGGTTGGCGGTTAGTTCAGTCCATAACATCTATCACAAGAAAAAATTAAAAGAAAAATTTTAATCTATCCCTAGTCCCATAAGATAACGGAGGTAAACTGGGGAAAAATTAGAGAGGAAGACAAACCATGAAAAACTTCTAACTCTAGGAGACAAAGGGTTGCAGAAGGGGAGGAAGCTGGGGGGATAGGGTGACTGGGTGACAGGGATGAAGGAGGGGCCTGATGGGATGAGCACTGGGTGTTTTACTATATGTTGGCAAATTGAATTTAAATAAAATATCTTTTAAAAAATCTATCTCTAGGGCAGCCCGGGTGGCTCAGTGGTTTAGCGCCGCCTTCAGCCTAGGGGTTATCCTAGAGACCTGGGATCAAGTCCCATGTCAGGCTCCCTGCATGGAGCCTGCTTCTCCCTCTAACTGTGTCTCTGCCTCTCTCTCTTTCTCTCATTCATAAATTAATAAATAAATCTTAAAAAAAATTTATCTCTAGTCCCATAATCTTTTTTTAGGACTAAAAATAACAGAAGTCATTCCACTTCTTAGCATCTATAAGAATTTCAGTTGCATTCTTAGTGGAGCTATTCTTTTCCTGGTCCTGAAGTCTCCTGGGTGTAAGGAGGGCTGGGGGCTCAGCCTTCACTTCTGAGATGGGAGTCCTTCTACTTTTTCTTCCTACTCTGACCCTCTCAAGGGTTTCACACCTAACTCAGATTCTAGAACTAACAAATGCTCCATCCTGTTTTCTGAGCCATGGAGTTTTGACCTCCAAGACAGGTAACCTTGTTTTCTACAGGCATAGTAGCTTTCAAGCCGCTGGGAGTCTTAAGACCCTTTCAGAGACTCCAGGAAGACAAACTATTTAGATATTATTTTCCTTTTTTGGTGCTCTCTGGGGCTGTCTAGAAGCTATAGGACATGTGATATTATACTGGATTGAATGCAAAGCAGATGTAAGAATCCACTTATTTTTCTTTTTGTGTAAGATTTATTTTACGGGGGTGGGACAGGCAGAGAAAGAGGGAGAGAGACTCTCAAGCAGACTCCTCGCTGAGTGTGGACCGTGGCAGGCTGATCCTACAACACTGAGATCATGACCCAAGACAAAAATCAAGAGTCGGACACTGGGGACGCCTGGGTGGCTCAGCGGTTGAGGCTCTGCCTTCGGATCAAGGCGTGATCCTGGAGTCCTGGGATTGAGTCCCACATCGGGCTCCCTGCATGGAGACTTCTCCCTTTGCCTGTGTCTCTGCCTCTCTCTGTGTGTCTCTCATTAATAAATAAATAAAATCTTTAAAAATAAAATAAAATAAAATGGTTCCTATGATTAAAAAAGATAAAATTTTTTTAAAAAAAAGGGACAGCCCTGGGTGGCCCTGTGGTTTAGCGCCGTGTTCAGCCCGGGGTGTGATCCTGGAGACCTGAGATGGAGTCCCACATTGGGCTTCCAGCATGGGGCCTGCTTCTCCCTCTGCCTCTCTCTTGCTCTCTCTGAATGAATAAATAAATAAATAAAACTTAAAAAAAAAAAAAGTGTCTCACTCTCCAGCCCAGATCTCAAGGTCATGAGTTCAAGCCCTGCAACTGGGTTCCATGCTGGGCATAGAGCCTCCTTAAAAGAAGAAGAAGAAAAAAAAAAGAATTTATAGTATATTTCTTCTCATAGCGAAATATTCTTTTTCCCCCAGAGTTACCATGGTGTCGCCATGGGGAATCTCCAAACACGAGACGATCCGACTTGTTGTGGATGCTTACTTTAAATTTTGATGATGTAGCACACGGGACAGGTTTAGTAATTTTGCCAGTTTAAAACGGCTTCTCCTTAAGACCATGAACTATGTATCTTTTTTTTAGTTTTTACGTTACTAGTCAAATCAGAAATCTCTCCCAGAAATGATGTCTTGCTAAAAGCTGCGGGAGGGGACCCCTGGCTTCACCTTCCTGTACGGGACCCGCTCCCAGTAGCTGTAGAGCCTCGCCTGCGGCCTCGGAGAACAAAGGGAGACGGACAAGCTGGGAGACGCGAAGGGCCGCGGGTACTAGACGTTGTGCAAGGTTCTGAGCAGCAGGGGGATGAGGCGTTCGGAACAGCGCTTTATCCAGAGTTTATCTAAAAAAAAAAAAGTTCATCTAAAGCGGTACATTTCTTTCGCCCACTGTTTCTCGAGGCCGCGGTAAGAATTCCCAGAGTCCAGTTAGAGTAACAAAACAGAATAAAACAACACAAAAACAAGCGTATTTATGTTTGGCGACTTGCCCCGCCCACCCTCAGTCTCGCTAATCCTTGGCTGAAAAACGCGCGGAAGCTGTAGCATCTGTACCTCGCCAGGTGAGCGAGCTACCCCAGCCCCGCCCATCCTTCCTCGGGAGGAGGACATCCGGGACTCCGAGGGGGCGTGGCCGGAGGCGGGGTCTAGAAGCCAAGTCCCGGCTCCGCCCACCCGGTGGCGCCCACAGCCCTGCGCTCCACCGCGCCCGCCAGAGGTCGCCGGCTCAGCAAACAGGTTTCTTATTTGGCCAGCGTCCGTCCAGTCGGGCTCCTAGTTCTCGCGAGAGAAAGCGCAAAGCCTGCCGGGAGGGATGCGCGGCAGTCCGCAGGTTTGCCCAAAATGGCAGCCTTGGAGGAGGGTTTCACGTTGTCCGCGGTACCGTTGGGTTCCGGGCCTCACGGACTCCTAGGCGTGGAGCAGAGCGACAGACCTGACCAGTTTCTAGTGACGGACGGCGGCAGGACCGTCATCCTCTATAAGGTGAGGGCGATATGATCGGAGAGCCCGCGCTGAGGTCTCTCCCGGTTCCGAGCACTGAGCCAGAGCCGCAGGTTTCTCACGGCTTCGAGAAAGAGGTCATCGAGCGGCTTATTGGAGAGCAGACTCGGCCTCTCCAGAAGCTAAATGAGGTCTAGGATAGGACCTGGTGGTTTTCCTGGAGGGGGAGGCATAGACCCGACTTGCAGGCGGCGGAGCGTCTCCGTGCACGTGGGCTAGCCTCGGAGAGGAAAGCTGTGCTTGCGCTGCGCATCTCCGGGTGGTGGCCTTCAGGTCCCCTCCCGGGCTGCCTTGGTACCCTGGCTGCCCGCGGGGGCGTTGAACGGAGATCGCGCGGGGGAGAGTGACTGGCAGCGCGGGAAGAGTGGTTTAGCTTTGTGTCCATCCCGTATAATTCTTCCCTCTCGTTGGGGCAAAAAAAAAAAGTTTTGCGAGTTGTTTTGTTTGATTTGATGGCTTGATTGGAATCTTGATTCCGATTGAGCTATTGCCACCCACAGGCGGTGGTAGATCCTTGGGATGAGTCCTGGCCAGGCTCTGTGCGTGTCCCGCCCACTTTTTTTTAATCCGAACTCTTTTTCTCAAAGCTCCTTTTAAACAGTTTTGCTTTCACTGGTCTCCTAGAAAGTAATTATTTTTTATCTGGACTGCTGAACATAGTTTCCTGTGTCTTTAAGAAGCTAGCTATCTACTTGGAAGTTTTGGGAACGGGTTGCCAGCATTCCCTATATATAGTGTTTGCTGGTCTTGACTCTTCTGATGACGCTGTTGGTTTGTACCTCGACTGTCAAGTGGAATTAAAATTTTGCAATTCCGGAGCATCTAGGTGGCTCAGTCAGTTGGGCGTCTGCCTTCCGCTCAGGTCATGATGCGGGGGTCCTGGGATTGAGTCCTACATGGGACTCCCTGATCAACAGGGACCCTGCTTCTCTTTCTGCCTGTGGCTCCTTCTGCATGTGCTTGTTCTTTGTGTCAAATGAATAGATAAAAAATCTTTTTAAAAAGTTTGCAATTCTTGCATAACAGTACAGTGGCTGATTGGAATTGGCATGATCAAAGGCATAGCGGAATCCCATTTTTTAACTGTACTCTTTACTTAAAAAGTATTAATTTACCTTTTTTCTTTTAGTAACTTATATTTTCATTTTACTTTTTAAAAGTTTTTATTTATTTATCTATTTATTTATTAAAAGATTTTATTTATTTATTTATTCATAAGAGACACAGAGAGAGGCAGAGACACAGGCAGAGGGAGAAGCAGGCTCCATGCAGGGAGCCCGACATGGGACTCGATCCCAGGTCTCCAGTATCACACCTGGGCTGAAGGCAGCGCTAAACCGCTGAGCCACCCGGGCTGCCCACTTTTTAAAAGTTTTTAATGTGTACTTATTTCTAATTGTTTTTTTGTTTTAAGATTATTTATTTGACAGAGCAAGAGAGCGCAAGCGGGGGGGAGCAGCAGAGGGAGAGGGAGAAGCAGGCTAACCGCTGAGCAGAGAACTGGAGGCAGGCTCCATCCCAGGACTGCAGGATCAGTACCTGAGCCAAAGGCAGACACTTAACCGACTGAACCACCCAGGCATCCCTATATTTTTTATATCTTTAAGTATTTATTTATTAGAGAGAGTGAGAGCACACGAGCAGAGGGGAGGGACAGAGGAAGAAGGACAAGCAGACTCCCCCCTGAGCAAGGAGCCTCACAGGACCCCGAGATCGTGACCCAAGCCCAAGGCAGCCGCTTAACTGATTGAGCCACCCAGGAGCCCCCCGTTTTTTATATTTTTAATTGTAGTAAGATACAACATAAAACTACTATGTTAACCATTTTTTTGAGTGTACCGTATAGGGTATTAAGTATGTTTATGTTGTGCAGCCATTACCACCCTACATCTTCCGAACTACTTTCATCTTGGAAAACTGAAATCCTATACCATTAAACAATAATTCCCCATTCCCTGACAACCCTGACAGCCACCATTCTATTTTCTTTCTTTCTTTCTTTCTTTCTTTCTTTCTTTCTTTCTTTCTTTCTTTCTTTCTTTCTTTCTTTCTTTCTTCTTTCTTTCTTTTTTTTTAAATATGCTTGGAGAATATTTTGTTTCTTAAGTGGAATCATACAGTGTTTGTCTTTTTGTGACTACTTTTTTTTTTTTTTTTTTAAGATTTTACTTATTTATTCCTGAGAGACACAGAGAGAAGCAGAGACATAGACAGGGAGAAGCAGGTTCCTCACAGGGAGCCCAGTGTGGGACTCAGTCTCCGGACGGGGATCACACCCTGAGCCGAAGGCAGACATTCAATCACTGAGCAACCCAGGCAACCCATACTTACTTTTATAATTGAGGAAACTTATTAAATGTTATTATTTAAATGATTTCTTTTGTCTTGATTGTAAATTTAATTGCTTGTGATGTCTGAAATTGAATTTTCAAATATTGTATGTTATTTTGATTTCACTAGGTTTCTGATCAGAAACCCTTGGGAAGCTGGTCAGTGAAACAAGGTCAAGTTATAACATGTCCAGCTGTGTGCAACTTTCAAACCGGAGAGTATATTGTTGTACATGATAATAAGGTGAGTTTTAAAACTTTTTATATAATAATATACACAACAAATCAAATGTTGATTAACTATTTTAGGTATAAGTGGAAGTTGGAATGCTTTTTTAACTTCTGTGTTTTCATTTAAGGTTTTGAGAATATGGAGTAATGAAGATGTAAACCTGGATAAAGTATTTAAAGCTACAGTAAGTCTTTGGATTTTCTAATGTATTTATTAGCTTATTGGTGAGATAGAATAGTTTATAATGTATTTCATTTATCTTAATACATCTGTGAAAGTAAGCATAAAAGTTATATCAGCTTTTCATTGTAGTTTTCTTATAGTGTGTCTTGGAACACATCTTAGTTCATGAGTTAATATGTTAGCAAATCAAAACTTTAATTACCTGAGATTAAGGATTTATTTATTTTTTTAATTAATTAATTTATTTATTCATGATAGACACAGAGAGAGAGAAAGAGGCAGAGACACAGGCAGAGGGAGAAGCACGCTACATGCTCGGAGCCCGATGCAGGACTCAGTCCCGGGACTCCAGGATTGTGCCCTGGGCCAAAGCAGGCGCCAAACCACTGATCCACCCAGGGATCCTCGAGATTAAGGATTTAAATAATTCGGGATGCCTGGGTGGTTCAGCCGTTGGGCACCTGCCTTCAGCCCAGGGCATGATCCTGGAGACCCGGGATCGAGCCCTGCTTCGGGCTCCCTGTATGGAGCCTGCTTCTCCCTCTGCTTATGTCTCTGCCTCTCTCTCTCTGTGTCTCTCATGAATAAATAAAATCTTTTTAAAAAAGGAAAAGGATTGGGCAGCCCGGGTGGTTTAGCACCGCCTTCAGCCCAGGGCGTGATCCTGGAGACCTGGCGTCGAGTTCCATGTTGGGCTCCCTGCATGGAGCCACGTCTCCCTCTGCCTGTGTCTTTGCCTCTCTCTCTCTGTGTCTCTCGTGAATGAATAAATAAAATCTTTAAAAAAAAAAAAAAAAAAAGGAAAAGGATTTAAATAATTCCTGAATGATAAATTTGCAGTGATTTCCATGAGCTTAGATATTTATGGTGTGTCCTTTGTGGGAACTTCACTGTGCCCTTTCTTAAAATAGGTGGACCAGAACCTGCTAATTTTATGCATTATGTGGGTGTTTTTTTGTTTTTGTTTTTAAGATTTTATTTATTTAAGACAGAGCAGGTGAGCACAAGCAGGAAGGAGGATCAGATGGAGAGGGAGAAACAGACTGCTCACTGAGCAGGGAACCTGATGTGGTTTTCAGTCCCAGGTTCTGATGCCTCATGACCTGAGCCGAAGGCAGATGCTTAACCAACTGAGCCAGCCAGGCGCCCCTGCATTATGTCTTTTAGGAGTGCACAGAATGCAGTAAAAAAGAACTTAGAGTAACTGTGCCTTTTCTTCTAGTGACCTAAAGTGTGTGTGGGTTTTTTCTTTCTTTAAGATTTTATTTATTTATTCATGAAAGACACAGAGGCAGAGCCATAGACAGAGGGAGAAGGGGAGAAGCAGGCTCCCTGCAGGAGCCGGATGTGGGACCTGATCCTGGGACGGGGATCACTCCCTGAGCCAAAGACACATGCTCAACCGCTGAGCCACCAAGGTGTCCCTGTGTGTGTTTTTTAAAGATTTATTTATTTATTTGAGAGAGTGTGCTTGTGAGTGGCGAAGTGGGGTGGTGTGAGGGAGAAGGTGAGAGAGAATCTCAAGCAGATTCCCCTGTGAGCCAGGAGTTAGATGCAGGGTTTGTTGTTACAACCTTGACATCGTGACATAAGCCCAAATCAAGGTCTTCAGCCACCCAGGTCCCCCTGACCTAAAGTTTGTTAATTAACTTTTTTTAACTTATAAACTGAGGGTCTCAAACTAGGATAACCTTGAAAGTTCCTTCCAATTCTAAATTTCTAACTCTAAATATAATTGGCAAACTTTGGAACTGATTGAGATATAATGGCAGTTATGACTTGGACTCTTGAAACTTCTAGCTAGCTAACTGTACTGTCACTTGACCCCAGTCTTTTCTTCTTCTTCTTCTTCTTTCTTCTTTCTTCTTTCTTCTTTCTTCTTTCTTCTTTCTTCTTTTTTTTTTTAAAGATTTTATTTATTTACTCACAAGAGATGCAGAGAGAGAGAAAGAGAGAGAGAGAGAGGCAGAGACACAGGCAGAGGGAGAAGCAGGCTCCATGCAGGAAGCCTGATGTGGGACTCGATCCCAGGACTCCAGGATCACGCCCTGGGCCAAAGGCAGGCGCTAAACTGCTGAGCCACCCAGGCTGTCCTTCTTCTTCTTTTTTTTTTTTTTTCTAAAGGTTTTATTTATTCATGAGAGACACACAGAGAGAGGCAGGACATAGGCAGAGGGAGAAGCAGGCTCCCTATGGGAAGCCAGATGTGGGACTCCATCCCAGGACCTCGGGATCACGCCCTGAGCCAAAGGCAGACGGTCAACTGCTGAACCACCCAGGCGTTCCCCCAATCTCTTCATTTACCTTGCAATAATGTGATCCTTAATTTTACAGTGGGGTTAACTTCTTTTCTTAGAGTCACTGGCTGTAGTTGTGATTATGGCATCAGTCTATCTAGCACTGAACTGCTTAAAACTACATTGGTGTCTTCATTTTTATCTTTCCCTACCTTCCGATTTTGGAGAGCCAGATTGTACGTAACCTTCAATACACAAAATGGAAGGATAAACCAAAAATTCATAAAAATCATGACTTAAGGGGGGCACCTGGATGGCTCAGTTGCTTAATCGTCTGACTTTTGATTTTGGCTCAGGTCATGATCTCATTGTCGTGGGATCAAGTCCTACATTGGGCTCTCCACTCAACACAGAGCCTGCTTGAGATTCTCTCTTTCTCTATCTCCCTCTTCGCCTTCCCTTGTTTTCCCATTCTGTCTCTCTAAATAAATAAAATCTTCCAAAAAAATAAATAAAATCTTTAAAAAATGATAACTTAAGGGGAGAGCAAGGAATAGGATAGACAGAAAAGGAGCAAAAGGCTTCTGTATGTATTTTATGTTGTGTATTTGACTTTGGAACATATAAAGCTGAATGAAAACAAAAACAAATCAGTTCTTAAAAATAAGCTTTCTATAAATGTCCTTATTCTCTTAGATATGAATTATTTTAGAATAAAAACTAATGCATTCTTATGTTCTTCTAGTTGTCAGCTGAGGTATATAGGATACATTCAATACAAGGGACAGAACCCTTAGTGCTATTTAAGGAAGGTGCTGTTCGAGGTTTAGAGGCCTTGCTTGCAGAGCCCCAGCAGAAAATTGAAACTGTTATCTCTGATGAAGAAGTGATTAAGTAAGTTCCAATACTTGTGAGTGAATTTTTTCCATAATACAAATGTACTGTGCATGTTTTTTAGGACATCCTTTGCCTTGTTCAAAAGTATTTTGGTTATAAACATAATAAATCCTTAATTAAAAGCCATTTATATGCCATTGGCCAAATTAACATCCAAAAGCCTCTTAGTGATCGGTGATTGGGGAAGCTGTGGGGTCATGTGAGTCCTGTTTTAATGACAGAAAACTGGATAATCAGCTATTTGAAGATAAAGTGGGTAATGCCATGAGACCAAAATCTCTGTTTCTGTTATATTGCCCTGACTGCCAAGATCAGAATGCTTACTCCTGAGGAGAAGTAGAGTTTGTTGTTAGTGAAATCATGATAGTGCTTTGAGCTCTCTGCTTTCCCAGATTCTGGAATAAAACTGGGGAAATGACTCACTCAAATGATAGAAGGAAATTTCATGATTTCACACTTCTCCGGGCCTCATTATTTTGTCACATGTCCTGTTGAGTTAACTTGCTGCCCCTCCTGGCCACTCGATGCAAACTAAATTTCTAAAAGTCAAAGGGAAGGCTTGTACTTAATGAACAGTGTGGACAATGACCAGGTGTTCCTTAGCCCTGTAGAATGTCTCTAATGTGTGAGCAACTGTTCGGAGTAAATATTTAGGAAAGGTGGATATAGGTAGAGGATCTGAGTTCTAATGGCCACTTTGCCAGAATCTGACTATATAGCCTTGGTTACAAGCCCTTTACCTTCTTCTGCCTCATATCCCTCTGTCACTTAAAAGAAGGCAGGTGAGATCGTAATGTTTTCTTTAGAGCACTAGTTTCAAAAGTGACTTAAAGAGGGAGGGGGAAGTCATTGCATACTGTCACATACCCACCCTTTTGGAACTTTACAATTCACATTGTCTTTAAACCTCTGGGAAGTTAAGCAATTTGTGTTTAATCCAGAAATGCTTTTGACAAAGAAATGCCTCCTAATTCTCTGTGATGTATATTTTAAAACACTGAATTAAGTTCTCTGATGTCTCTGACTCTAAAAATTATTTAATAAAAGACACTCTCTTAGATTAAGATTGATAGGTTTCTCTCAGCCAGTGATTTGGCATTTTATAATTTTTCTTTCTATTTTTTTTAGGTGGACAAAATTTTTCATGGTATTTAGGCATCCTGTTTTAATCTTTATTACAGAAAAAGTAAGTGGTATCTTTAATTCCTGGCCTATTTTGTGACATTTCAAATTCACATACATTACTTTTTAAACTAAATTGGGCTTTAGTATTTCTCTCAGAATATTTTATTTTATTGTGTATTTTTTTAAGTACTAAAAAACCTGCTAGTTACAAAGAAATATTGTTTAAAACATTTTTACTTTAATTGGATAAGAGATATTTTTAAAGCACCCATTGAAACAATTAGAAGAGAGCAACAACTGGCTTTAAATATGGTTGCTTGAAATGGCAATATTTTTAAATAAAATAACCTTTTTTTGTACAGCACGGGAATTACTTTGCTTATGTACAAATGTTTAACTCATGTACCTTAAGCAAATACACGCTCTTACTTGGACATGAAGAAAAATCTGTCATACACAGTTTCACTGCATCTGTGGATCGGAAAGTCATCTCTTTGATGTCGTTAAGTAAGTGTTTTTCTTTAACGTTTTTGAGATTGTAGATAAAGGGTTATCACAGGATAGTGGGTTTTCTGAGTTAGAATCTTAGATTAAAAAAAAAAATCTTAGTTTTTTGCAGTTTTCTATTATAGCACTTCCCTTCACATGCTTCCATAAAAGCATGTCTGCCTTCACTTTATGCAGTTTGCCATATCTGGTCATGCATTAAGTCACTGGTTCTCTGCAGGTAACTTTTTTTATGTCTTAAGGTTTATCATAGGCAATAAATAATAATATAATACCAATAAAAAGGGGGAAATTATCTTTTATTTTTATTATCATAAGTCCAGGCTCTTAGATACTGCAATTAGTGAAGCATAAAATACCTAAGGTTGGTATTGAGTGGCCCCTTTAGTCCTCTTTTCTAGCCTTAAGCTTTAGGGTACCCTCTTTGAACATTGTTGGAGGCAAGTGGGTTAAAGGAAACTAACAAGGCATTCATGGCCTATGCCAGCCAGCATTTTATAGATTTGTTGATGCCTTGGAGTTTATCTAATGGTCTAAAGTAAAACCCTAATCTTATAATCTTATCTAACTAGGAGAAAGAACGCCATTGTGATACCTTCTTCCTCCTATCTTTTATGGCTCTTTTTAAAGTTGTTTTGAGAGAATTAAGGAAAAAGCAAGAACATTATTTTCATATTATCACAATTAAAAAATCTTTTTGGAAATTCCTAGGTGGCTCAGCGGTTTGGCGCCTGCCTTCAGCCCAGGGCGCGATCCTGGAATCCTGGGATCAAATCCCACATCAGGATCCCTATGTGGAGCCTGCCTCTCTCTGCGTGTGTGTCTCTCATGAATAAATAAATAAATAAAATCTTTCAAAAAAAAAAAGTTTCAGAAGTAGAATTTAGTGGTTCATCAGTTGCATATAACACCCAGTGGTTTTTTTTTTTTTTTTTTTTTTTTTTTATGATAGTTAGAGAGAGAGAGAGGCAGAGACATAGGCAGAGGGAGAAGCAGGCTCCATGCACCGGGAGCCCGACGTGGGATTCGATCCCGGGTCTCCAGGATCGCGCCCTGGGCCAAAGGCAGGCGCTAAACCGCTGCGCCACCCAGGGATCCCAACACCCAGTGTTATTACATCAGGTGGCCTCCTTAATGCCTGTCACTGAATTATCCCCTCCACCCAAATTAAAAAAATCTTCTGTGGGGGGTATCTGGGTGGCTCAGTTGGTTAAGTGTCTGTCTGCCTTTGGCTCAGATCACATTGAGCTCCACGTTGGGCTCCCTCTCCCTCTGTTCACACTCGTGTTCTCTCTCTCAAATAAATAAAATCTTTTTTTTTTTTTTGGTAAGATTTTATTTATTCATGAGAGGCACAGAGAGGGGGGCAGAGACAGGCAGAGAGAGAAACAGGCTCTATACAGGGAGCCCGATATGGGACTCGATCCCAGGACTCCAGGATTACACCCCAGGCCGAAGGCAGATGCTCAACTGCTGAGCCACCCAGATAACCCTCAAATAAATAAAATCTTTTTTTTTTTTTATAAATCTTAAAAAAAAATTTTTTGTGATGATTTTTACAAATGTTTACAATGGTTATTGAAAAGTTCCCATCATTTATCATATTAAAGTTTTTTCTTTTAAAAAATTTTATTTATTTGAGAGAAAGAGCACAGGCAAGGAGGAGAGAGAGAAGCAGAAGCAGACTCCCTACTGAGCAGGAGCCTGACTCATGGCTTGATGCCAGGACTCTGGGATCATGACCTGATCGAAGGCAGACACTTAACCAACAACCACCCAGGCATCCCTAGAAGGTCTTTGAAATCCACTTAATGCCTTTGTTTAAGACGGACTGGTTTTCTTATAGATTAGTGTATAAGATACACTTAACTGGTTTGGTTTGGTTTGGTTTAAGTAGCCTTCATGCCCAACATGGGGATTGAACTCATGACCCTGAGATTAAGAGTTATATGCTCTACCAACTGTGCCAACCAGATGCCCCAGATATACTTATTGTTAGATGAAAGTTTATGAGTTATGTTTTAGCTTATTGAATGAATATTGAAATAAGGAAGTCTGAACCAAAAGATCATAGAATCTTAATGATGTATCTAAAACCACAATAAAATTGCCAATATTCCATTGATGTACCAAAAGAGAGCAATTTCATATGGTTTTCCGGATGATGGAGTCAAGAGAAATGTCATATTTAGACCAGAATGCTGATTAATTTTGAATGTGAGATATATCCTTTTAGTGACTATAGATTGCATTCCTGAATTTACTCTCATATTTTAGGTTATTACAAGTATTTAGCTATTGTGACATTTCTTATGAGAGGTTTGGTTTTTTTTTATGACTATTAGCAGGAGCAGAGGGAGAGGGAGAAGCAGACTCCCCACCAAGCAGGGAGCCCGAAGTGGGGCTTGATTCCAGGACCCCAGGATCATGACCTGAGCTGGAGCAGATGTTTAGCCAGTTGAGCCACTCAAGCACCTCAGAGAGGATTTTGTTTGTTTGTTTTGTTTTTTTGTTTTTAGATTTTATTTATTCATGAGAGACATAGAGAGAGGCAGAAAACACAGGCAGAGGGGGAAGCAGGTCCATGCTGGGAGCCTGACATGGGACTTGATCCGGGGTCTCCAGGATCAGACCCTGGGCCAAAGGCGGCGCTAAACCGCTGAGCCACCTGGGCTGCCTGCCTCAGAGAGTTTTATTAATAATATTTATCCCTCAGTTTTAGGTTTGTGGTACAGGTTTTTTTTTTTTTTTAGATTTATTTATTCTTGATAGAGAGAGAGAGAGAGAGAGAGAGAGGGGCAGAGAAGCAGGCTCCATGAAGCAGGCTCCATGCTGGGAGCCCAACGTGGGACTCGATCCCAGGACTCCAGGATCGCGCCCTGGGCCAAAGGCAGGCGCTAAACCGCTGAGCTACCCAGGAATCCCCTGTGGTACAGTTTAAGGGAAAGCATAGAGTGATATGATTGTTAAATTTGTTTATTTTTCTGATTGTATCCTGTATCAAATTGGTAAAACTTATAAACAGTCTCTAGTACCTTTAATTTTAACAGATATAGAACTGTCCTTTAACTGATAATGAAGAAGAAATACTTGTTTCCAACAGGCTCTGATGGATGTATATATAAAAGCTTGATACCAATACATCCGAATGACCCAGAAAAAAATCAGAGAGTGGTTAGATCACTGTTGCTGAAGACTGTGGTGTCTGGTAATGTTCGAAATGGTGTTGCACTCACTGTCCTGGATCAAGATCATATAGCAGTCCTTGGACCACCACTGCCAGCTTCCAAGGGTGACTTGAAATCTGATCATTTTTTTTTTTCAATTAAGATGTTCTATGGATTTTCCCTTCAAAGTGTACCTTTTAGTCTTCATTTTCTTTTTTATTATCACCCATTCATTTTCTTTAGTATTATACTAAAATTATTTTTATAGCTTCCTAACTCTTCTTGAATAGGTCTTTGATTTCATCTTACATTAGTTAATCTTTTTTAGCTTTATTAATTTTAGTTTCTCTATACTGAACACTCAAACACACAGTCTCAAGATCAAGAGTCACGTGTTGTACGGACTGAGCCAGCCAGGTGCCCCATCTTTTTGAGACATTTCCTTGTATCACTACCTTATTCATGACTAACGTCTTAAAGGAATAAAAACTGCGAGTATCTGTGTCAACCTATAGGCATTTGATCATTGGTGAGCCTAGTAGTAGAGAATTGAATTCATAGCCTGGTGACTAGACTATAAGAAATGGAAATCGCTTAGTGACTAGATTACAAGAATGGAAATCCACTAAACTTGGACAGCTTAAACTTCAGGGACCAATAGTATGCTTTTTCATCTCTGATTTCAGAGCATAATTCTCATTTTCATCTCACCTCACCCCCAAATACCCCTCCACACACACAGACTTGTCTGTCATGAAGAATACATTTGTTGCTAGCCAGTACAAGATTGGGATCTTCAGGCCATGCTACAAAACTAAGAATCTGCCTAGTGTTCAGGTCTCTCTGTGGCCTAGACTCCATCCACCATCTCCAATCTCTTTTCCTAATTTCGGAGCAAGAATCCTTTAATTTATTCCGTCCAGGCTCCCTACTGACTATACACTTAATTTACCCATCCTTATTTGTGTACTTTTTTCCTGTGGTTCTCCCCTCTTATTAAGATAGGAGCTGCTAGTTAAAGCATAGCTATCCTGTGCCAGGCATTTTATGTATATTATTAGCTTATTGTTTGTATCAATCTTCCAACACCACCACTAGGGGGAGAAAGTAGTTATCACTTTAATACTCTCTTTAATAACTTTAATAGTTATATTTTACAAATCAGATAACTAAATAGAATGATTCTTTACTTAGGCCACATACCTTACTGTTCTTAAGTCCCGACACTTTTTACTATGCTGTGCTGCCCCTCTGTCCCCCCACCATCATCCCTGTTTCTGCTTCCTGCTCTAACCCCCAAAACCCAATAAGTACTGTTAGAGCTTTCAGTGTCTCTTTATAGAGTCTTTTCACATGTATACAAGCAAGTATTACTACTTATTTTTCTTTCCTTTTTTTATGTGAATGGTAGTATACCATACATACTGTTGTGCACCTTATTTATTCACTTACCTGAGAGATCATAGAGCCCTCTCCATATCAACATTTATTACTAATTTATTATTATTACTATTATTAACGCTTTATTCTTTTAGAGCAGTTTAAGGTTCACAACAAAATTGAGGGGAAAGTATATAAGATATCCTATATGCCCCTATTCCCACACATACCCATTTCTTGTTATAAGATCTCATTTCCTTGAGGTTCTGTGGCAATCACAGTTTTTGTTTTTTTTTTAAGATTATTTATTTATTTGAGACAGAGAACATGAGTGAGGGGATAGGGGAAGAGGGAGAAGCAGACTCTTCAGTGAACAGGGAACATGACATGGGACTCGAACCTAGGAGCTGGATCATGACCTGAGCCAAAGGCAGATGCTTAACTGACTGAGCCACCCAGGCACCCAATCACTGTCTTCATTACTCAGTTTTATACTAATAAAGCAAGACTTAAGTGTGTAATTAGGACTCTTCCTAATCTCCCCACTTCCTTCTCCACCACAGTCAGCGTCATGTTTATATGTGCCATGACATCTGAATTTGCATGTCTTATTTTACAGAGTGCGTCTCCATATGGAACACAAAATTTCAAACACTACAGACTTCCAAAGAGCTACCACAGGGGACCAGTGGTCAAGTAAGTTTCTGTCTTTGGAGATTTTCAAATTTAGATAATCTTATGTATGATAAGTGTAGTATAAGGGGAGAGACTTCAGATTTTAATGATTTGGCAGTTTTTGATTAAAATAAATTGAAAAATATTCTTTACCTGTGAGATATTTAATTTGGTATTTCAATTTTTATTAAGTTTGTCACCTTGAAAACACTATAGGTAATTTTAGATCAAGGAAGAATAATACATAAAACATAGCTACTCCTTGGTTTGATGTTTTTACTTTTGTATTTCTTTTTAAATATTTTTATTCTTTATTATTTTTTTTAAACTATTCTCTACATCCAATTTAGTCTTGAATTCAAGACTAAAAGTCATATGCTCTACAAAGCCTGCCAGGAGCCTCTACCTTTGTATTTTTTTTTGTGTGTTTTAAAGATTTTATTTATTTATTCATGAGAGACACAGAGAGAGGCAGAGACACAGGCAGAGGGAGGAGAAGCAGGCTCCATGCAAAGAGCCCGATGGGGGACTCGATCCTGGTACCACATGATCACACCCTGACCCGAAGGCAGATGCTCAACCACTGAGCCACGCAGGTGTCTTCTCTACTTCTGTTTTTTTTTTTTTTTTTTTAATTTTTTTTTTTAAATTTATTTATGATAGTCACAGAGAGAGAGAGAGAGAGAGGCAGAGACACAGACACAGGCAGAGGGAGAAGCAGGCTCCATGCACCGGGAGCCTGATGTGGGATTCGATCCCGGTATCGAGGATCGCGCCCTGGGTCAAAGGCAGGCGCCAAACCGCTGCGCCACCCAGGGATCCCTACTTCTGTATTTTGAACCATAAGCCAGGGCTATTACTTTTCCTAATAAATTAATCGTTTAGATTATATGGTAAACATAATGGAATTACATAAGAATAATTTTTAAGATTTGTTTATTTGAGAGAGCTAAAAAAGAGGGAGGGCTGGCATGAGTAGGAGGAGAGGGACAGAGGGAGAGGAGAAAGAGAAAAGGGCTCAATCTCACCACCCTTAGACCATGATCTGAGCTGAAATTGGGTCAGATGTTTAACTGAGCCCCCTGGTGCCCCTTGCATAAGAATTATTGAAGAGTTAAAATTTAAGACTAAACTTCTTGAGTCAGGAGTCCTTGTCTATTTTGTTATACATTTTATCTTCAGTGTCTGTCAAAGGTGCTCAGTAAGGATTGGTTCTTTAGTGAATACATATTTGTATATAAATAAAATATAATCAAGATAATACAATGTTATAGATCATTGGGATAAAGAAGGAGGAGACTAGATTCCACAGCAGATAATATTCTTACTTGTATTTAAACAAATAATAACAAAATTAACCACTCACAGTTCTACCACTCTAACAAACTTGTTTGAGTTCCATGTTCTTTAAAGCTTTTTGTTCATATATCCATCTTATATTTTATTATTTTTTAAATTTGAATAAGATAGAATGTTAAATTCTGCTTTTTTCATCTACCACATTTTTAACAGAGTGCCCTGTTACAGTAGCCTTGGTAATTATTACATTAATAGATGTGTGACAGTGGCAATATTAATTTTAAATAATTAAATTCCATATATTGATCAGATTTTTAGAAGTAAAGAGTATTCTTTAAATTATGCTTCATTCCTGGGATGCCTGGGTGGCTCAGCAGTTAAGCGTCTGCCTTTGGCTCAGGGCGTGATCCCAGGATCCGGGATTGAGTCCCACATCACACTCCCTGCATGGAGCCTGCTTTTCTCTCTCTCTCTCTCTCTGTCTCTCATGAATAAATAAATTGTTTTTTTTTAAATTATGCTTCATTTAGATGTGAGCAAAAATAAGAGCTTTGTAAACCTACCCACTTAATAAGCTGTACATGTAAGATTATTCTGGAAACTTAACTATGTCTTGTTTTTTGTTATATTAAGATTGCTCATACTACAAGTTATGTATTTTTTGGAGGGGGTTACAAGTTATTTTTAAAAATGAAACTCAGATCTTAGAAGAGAAAAAAACTGCTTATTTTTTATAACATTTTTTATAGCTCTGGTATTACGGGGAAAATTTATTTATGCTACATGGAAAATTTCTTACTGTGATTCCATACAAGTGTGAAGTATCTTCATTAGCAGGTGCTCTTGGAAAACTCAAGCATAGTCAAGATCCAGGTAGGAACTTTGTTTGTTTAAGATTTTATTTATTACAGTGAGAGAGTGTGAGTGGGAGGTGGTAAATGAAGAAGGAGAGATAGGTTCTTTGCTGAGCAGGGAACCCTGGGATTGTGACTTGAGCTGAAGGCAGATGCTCAACTGACTGAGCCACCTAGGCACCCCTGTTTGTTTTTTTCAAGTAACTTCTGTGTCCATTTGAGATCAAGAGTCACAAGCTCAAAAAAAAAAAAAAAGTCACAAGCTCTACCTACTGAGACAGCCATGTGCCCCAGAACCTTCTGATTTTTTATTAATATAAACCATTTTATTAAGTTCCAGTTTGACATAGATTTCTACAACCATCAGTTTACAGAGCTTAATTTTGATGTTGAAATTTGCTACTATTCTTTGATGTTTCCTTGACCCAGGTATCTACCTTGGGAACAGTTACATTGTAGGTATTGCTGCAGGCTGAAGAGCTACACAGTTTTGAACATCAGGGTTCTGACTTCAGGGGCAATGGGAGAGTCCCCCAGACAAACTCATTAATACTTTTACCCTCCTGGGTTTACTAGTGGTCTCAGATGTTGGCTTAGCATTACTGGTCACATAGCCATACACTGTATTGGTTGTGGTCTGTTTTTGTTTTAAGATTTTATTAGAAAGTGAGCACGAGAAGGGGGGAGGCGGAGGGAGAAAGAAAGGAAAACCAGATTTTCCACTGAGCAGGGAGCCTGGTATAGGGCTGGATTCCAGGTCCCTGGGATCTTGACCTGAGCCAAAGGACGATGCTTAAGCAATTAGGTCCTCAAAGTGCCCTGTTTTTTTTTTTTTTTTTTTGAGACTTATTTATTTATGAGAGACACAGAGAGAGAGGGGGTCAGAGACACAGGCAGAGAGAGAGGCAGGCTCCATACAGGGAGCCCGATGTGGGACTCGATCCCAGAACTCCAGGATCACGCCCTGGGCCAAAGGCAGGCACTTAACCGCTGAGCCACCCAGGCGTCCCTCAGAGTGCCCTCTTATACTGTATTGTGACATATTGATCTGGGTTTATCAGGAGAATTCAGTGGTCTTGAAAGCTTCTCTTGAATTACGCACAAATGGTTGTTTTTGTTGTTCTTTGGTTGGCTAAATACAGTAGGTCAAAAAATTCAAGAAATTGTATACTTTGTGTTTTCTTAGGCACTCAGACTGTGCCTCATTTTGTAAACTGGGAAACATCTCGGGGGTATGGATTTGGATCCCAGAACTCAGAGCAGTCGAAGAGAATTGTAAGTTTGGTGGTTGAGATAGAAATGTTAATGCAGATATCAAAAAAAAAAAAAAAGGAAAGGGTATCTTAATGATTCATATCTGTACAACTCTTATAGCTTTGATTATATTTTAGATTTTATTTATTTGAGAGAGCGTGTGTACATGTGACTGGTGGGAGGGGTAGAGGGAGAGGGGCAAGGAGCCTGACATGAGCTTCATCCCAGGATCCCAAGATCATGACTTGAGTTTAAGACAGGCACTCAAGGGACTGAGCCACTCAGGCATCCCTGTAGCTTTGATCTTTCTTTTTTTTTTTTTAATTTTATTTTTATTCATGAGAGACATGGGTGGGGGGGGCAGAAACATAGGCAGAGGGAGACGCAGGCTCCATGCAGGGAGCCGGATATGGGACTTGATCCCAGAACTCCAGGATCATGCCCTGGGCCAAAGGCAGGCACCAGACTGCTGAGCCACCCAGGGAGCCCTGTAGCTTTGACCTTTTTTTAATTAATTAATTAATTAATTAATTAATTAATTAATTAATTAATTATTATAGTCATACAGAGAGAGAGAGAGAGAGAGAGAGGCAGAGACACAGGCAGAGGGAGAAGCAGGCTCCATGCACCGGGAGCCCGACATGGGATTCGATCCCGGGCCTCCAGGATCGCGCCCTGGGCCAAAGGCAGGCGCCAAACCGCTGTGCCACCCAGGGATCCCCTGTAGCTTTGATCTAAATGACAGGGCAACTTGAATCTTGAACCCAGTAACCTGACATCTTTTATCAGGTTACTGACACCTGGACTACACAGGTAGTCCAGTTTTTATAGGTGTGTGTATGTGTAAGGCACAGGTGTAAAAATGGACGGTTCACAATTAGTAATACCTTCCTGAACATAGAGATTTTATTTTGTGTTTAAAAAAACAAAAACCTTAGAAGTCTTAAAGGTATTTAAGTTAGTTGAAATAAACCCACTTTTCATTGTAACAAACTTAATTTTTTTTTTTTCAAACTTAAATATTTTTAAAAGTGTTTGCTTAGAGCATGTGTACTGTTCTAGTCTGTTTAGGACATTTTGTATTCTTCTAAGTGTATTTTGGATCTTTTGCATTGTTTTAAGATCTTAATCAATTTATTTAATTGCAGTTAAGGAGAAGAAAAATTGAAGTGAGTGTACAGCCTCCACCATCCAAACAACTTTTGTCAACTATAAAGGTAAATACTATACTAGAAATAAGAAAAATCAACCTAAGTGGTTAAAAGAAATCTCATCTAGTTTTCATTCTAATTATGATGAGCTACCTTTATATCTGTAGCTAACATTTGTATAGTGTGTTAAGGTTGTCAGAGACATCCAGTACTTTGGCTCGTTTGGCTCTTACTAAGCATTTTAGGAGGTTACTGTAATGATGGTGGCCTCATCACTATCTCTTTCACCTTTGCATTGAATATATTTGTAACTTACCCTCTTAATTTGATTTCTAAACCTTGGCCTTGTTTTTTGTTGTGTTTTATGTTTTGTAGTTTATCTTTGTGCAGCAAATTGTAGTATCAACTCTAGTTTCATAGGAATGCATAAATACTGTTGACAATTGAAGAAAATGTTGAGCAAGGAACTAAGTTCAGAGTGACATGTATTATTGTACCAGACTGAACTCTTGTTATTTCTGCCCTTTCAGAAAGATTCAGAAAAACGCATTGTAGAAGAACTATGTAAATTTTTGGCTAGTAAGCAGACCCCTGATTTTCATACTATTATTGGGGACATAGTATTAGAACTTCTGGGAAGACATAAAGTAGAACCATCATTTTATCCCCGGAATGCTCTGATGCAGCTTATCCGAACACACGTGCTTTCTTACAGGTAAATGTTTTTATATACCAAACTCTCTATGCATAACTCTTTGACTTTTTTACAATTCTAATATTCATATTCTGTAAAAGCTTATACATTATTTGCAGTTGAGATTTTTCTTTTCTTTTTTTCTTTTTTTTTTGAGATTTTTCTTAATATACAAAAATGATTCATGGTTGTTTCTCTTAGTTTGTGCCCTGGCTTAATGGAAGTTGCCTTAGAAAAGACAGATGTACAGATGTTACAGCTCTGTCTACAACAGTTCCCTGACATTCCTGAATCAATCACCTGTGCTTGCTTAAAAATTTTCTTAAGGTAAGTTAGAAGCTGATGGTCCTTTTTCTGCATTTTTAATCTTTTACATTACTCAATTTCTGAAACTTTGATGCTTATAAAATGAACATTTTTCCAGTGAGTTCATGCAGTGATAAGAATTCGTTTCTCTTCCAATTAACGTGATGATAGCATTAGTGATGACAGTCTTCAAGAAGCAGAAATCAATATGGAATCAGTTTCTGACTATATTGATTCTGTGCAAGAGGAGAAAATGGAAGAGCAAACGGAAATTCTTCACAATGGCTTCAATCCTGAAGAAGAAAAGTGTGATAACTGTGATCGGGAGTTAAACAAAAAGCCTCAGGACACAACAGAGGAGACCACTTCGTGCCCTGTGATACCAAAGAGAGCAGCTCTGCTGTATCCTTTGAAACAGTTTCCCCCTACATTGTCTCTTTCCATACAGTCAAGTGCTGAGCAGTAACTAAGGCATAATTAGATCATCTCAGAAGCTTTCTTTTCTATTTTCCAGTTTTCTTTTCACTTTCTGCTAGGAAATGGAGTACAGTCAATTCTATATGCAAACGACTTAATTACACCTGATTTAAGAAGCTTTGTGAAGGCAGAAGCTCTCTCAATTCTAAAAAAATAGTATTCTTGATAAGTACCACTTATAAGAGTGAAGTTTTCAGGTGACCTCTAGTGATTATGAGGAAGTTCAGTGATAGAGTTCTTTGAGAAAAGTATAACTTTCTATAAATTTAGAAAATACATCATTAGGGAAGGGAGTTACTCATAATTTCAGTAGAAAAGACTTTATTGAAACAAGTTTTCCTTTAGTCATAAGTAGAAATGCAATTCTTCATTCAGCTTACAGTGAAATGTTTCTTCTGCCTCACTTGAAAGACATCCCAGCACAACATGTCACTGTAAGTATTCTTAGACATCCTATAGAATTTTATTTCTGGTTTATTTTTAAGATTTTATTTAGTTATTAGAGAGAAAGCACAAGATAGGGAAGGTCAGAGGGAGAAGCAGACCCCCGCTGAGCAGGAACCTGAGTGGGGCTTGATCCTAGGATTCCAGGATCATGACCTGAGCTGAAGGCAGACACTTGACTGAACCACCCAGGTGTCCCCGATTTCTAGTTCAAATTTTACTGCTTAACCCTAACCAGCTTTAGGGCATTTGAAAGGTTATCAGGTTCTTTCAGGTCAGTAAGAGGTTGTTTCCCAGTCCCTATGCTGAAAAATTGTGCCTAGGATTCAAGTGACTTCTGTTTGGCAGATCTTAGCATGTTCCTGATGCCAAGTCTGAAAGCCAGGTTAATCTAAGTTAAAAAACAAATGCCTGGCTCAGTTGGTTAAGTGTCTGCCTTCGGCTCAGGTCATGATCTCAGGGTCCTGGGATCGAGCCCTGCATTGGACTTCCTGCTCAGCAGGGAATCTGCTTCTCCCTCTCTCTGTACATGCTTTCTCTCAAATAAATAAATAAAATCTTTAAAAAAAAAAAATGCCTGGGGCACCTGGGTGGCCCAGTCAGTTGGGCGTCTGCCTTTGGCTCAGGTCTTAGTCCCCAAGTTCAGGGATCAAGTCCCTCATCAGGACCCTGCTCTGTGGGGAGCCTGCTTCTCCTTCTGCGTCTCTCATGAATAAATGAATAAAATCTTAAAAAAAAAAAAAAAGTGCCTGGCTGGCTCAGTTGGTAGAGCATGTGACATTTGATCTCAGGCTTGTGAGTTCCAGTCCCATGTTAGGTGTAGAGATTTTTTTTTAAATAAATAAGTGAATGAATGTATATATGTATGTATATTTTTGGTGTGTGTTTTTGTTTTTATTATTTTTTTAAAGATTTATTTTTATTTATTTATTTATTTATGATAGAGAGGCAGGATCCATGCAGGGAGCCCTACGTGGGACTCGATCCCGGGTCTCCACAATCACACCCTGGGCTGAAGGTGGCGCTAAACCACTAAGCCACCTGGGCTGCCCACGTGTTTTTGTTTTTATTTATTTATTTATTTATTTATTTGTTTATTTATTTGATATTTTATTTATTTATTCATGAGAGACACAGAGAGAGAGGCAGAAACAGGCAGAGGAAGAAGCAGGATCCATGCAGGGAGCCCGACGTGGTACTCGATCCTGGGTCTCCAGGATCACACCCCAGGCTGAAGGCTGTGCTAAACTGCTGAGCCACCGGCACTGCCCGTGCTTTTGTTTTTAAAATAGAAATTAAAAATAGCTGAGAGATGGATTTTCTCTCTTCTACTTATTTGCAAACAGATTAAGCTCCCCAGCCACCCCTCCCAAACCAAATGAACTCCTCATTGATGGCAAAGGCTGCATTTTATTCATTTTTGTGTCCCTAGATTCTAGTATATTTGCCTGATATATAATTAAATTCGGTAGCTTCGGGATCCCTGGGTGGCTCAGCAGTTTAGTAAACGCCTGCCTTTGGCCCAGGGCGCGATCCCGGAATCTCAGGATCGAGTCCCGCGTCGGGCTCCCGGCATGGAGCCTGCTTCTCCCTCTGCCTGTGTCTCTGCCTCTCTCTCCTCTCTCTATGACTATCATGAATTTAAAAAAAAAAAAAAAATCAGTAGCTTCTTAAAATTCTTTAGTCTCTTTGTTAGCTTTATACAGAGAGAACATTTTTCTATCAAGGTGATAAATTGTCCTTTTTCTTCCTACCCAGCTATTTCTCCAGTATTTGTATTTCCTTTATCTGAAGTGTAGTGAAAATGCTACCATGACTCTTCCTGGGCTACGCCCTCCAACCCTGAACCAGGTAAGCTAATCTTTTTTCTAATTTAATTTTTTACTTTTTATTTTGATTCGAGTATAGCTAATATACAATATTATAGTAGTTTCAGGTGTACAGTATTGTGATTCAAACACTTCCATACATCACCCAGGGTTCATCATGATTAATGAACTCTTAATCCCCTTCACCTATTTACCCTATCCTTCCATCCACCTGCTCTCTGGAAATGAACAGTTTTGTTCTCTCTAGTTAAGAGGTTTTTTTTTTTGGTTTGTCTCTTTTTTCTTTGTTCATTTGTTTTATAAATTACACATATGAGTGAAATCATGGTATTTCTCTTTCTCGGACTTAATTTGCTTAGCATAATATCCTCTAGATCCAACCGTGTTACTGCAAATAGCAAGATTTCATTCTTTTTGATGGCTGAGTAGTCTTCTACTGTATATTATGTACAGCCTCTTTATTCCTTTATCTGTCGATGGACACTTCGAGTGATTTTATAATTTGGCTATTGTGAATAATGCTGCAATAAACAAAGGGGTGAGGTAATCCTTAATTGAATTTGGTACTGGGAAAAATCTGTAAAAAAAAATAATAAGGTTATATAGAATGTCAGAACTTAAATTCAGTGACTGATTTCTCTTTGTCTTCTAGTTCATAGGAACCTCCTCCCTCACTGGAGTAAGATAGATTTAGAGCCATAATTCTATACTTAGAGAACTTAAATACATCTTAAACTCCTGATTCTTTGGGCCTCCTGGGTGGCTCAATTGGTTAAGCATCCAACTTTTGATTTCTGCTGAGTCATGATCTCAGGGTTGTGAGACCCCCATGGGGCTTTATGCTGATTATGGGGTCAGCTTGAGATTCTCTCTCCCTCTTCCTCCACTAATGCATGCATGTGTGCATGTTCTATAAATAAATAAATAAATAAACAAATAAACAAATAAACAAGCAAATAAATAAAATCTTTTTAAAAATTACTGATTCTTTATTGTGACCCTTTTCAAGGATTTTCTTAGCCTCTTTGGGAGAAGGTGATAATAAGTGTCCTAATCTTAAGAGAAGATTAATGAAAAAAATGTTTTCAGAGAAATTCCTGATACTCTTTAAATAATATTTATTTGAGAACCAGTTTAGAACATTAAAAATAAAAAGTTTATTGTGTTTAGAAACACCTGGCTGCCTGGCTCAGTCAGGAGAGCATGTGACTCTTAATCTTGGGGTTGTGGGGAGGAGGGCGGGGGGTGGGGGTGAATGGGTGACGGGCACTGAGGGGAACACTTGACGGGATGAGCACTGGGTGTTATTCTGTATGTTGGTAAATTGAACACCAATAAAAATTAATTTATTAAAAAAAAAATCTTGGGGTTGTGAGTTAGAGCCCCACATTGGGTGTACAGATTACTTAAATTTTTTTAAAAAATTCATTGTGTTCTAAGAATGTTTTTCTAATTAAGTGCTTGAAGCACTTAATTTGACTACTTAAAATTTTGTTAAGTAGTTAATTTCTGTAGTAAAAAATTCCAATAATACTAAAAGGTGCGTCTCCACTCCCATAGTCCCTCTAAGGGATAACCAATGTTAAGAGTTTCTTTTGGGATTCATGTATGGCTCATTCTGTAGAGCATGCAACTCTCAGATCTTGGAGTTATGAGTTCAAGCCCCACCTTAGGTATAGAGATTCCTTAAAATAAAACCTTTATTTTATTTTACTTTTTAAATAAAACCTTTAAAAGAAAAAGTTTTTTTTTTTTTTTTGGTCTAGAAATTTTCTTTCTTTACCCTAACATATCTTCCTCTTGTCTTTCTAACACAAATTAGATCATAGTATGCATGCCATTTGCAGTTTGCTTTTCTCATTCTGTATTGTGTTTTGGAACATTTTCTGAAGGAATTAACATATATCTGCCTCAGTCCTTTTTTTTAATTTAATTTTTTTAAGTCTTTTTTTCTTTTTTTAAGATTTTATTTATTTATTCATGAGAGACACAGAGAGAGAGGCAGAGACACAGGCAGAGGGAGAGGGAGAAGCAGGCTCCATGCAGGGAGCCCGGTGCGCGGTGCGCGACTCGATCCCGGGTCTCCAGGATCACACACTCTGGACTGAAGGTGGCGCTAAACCGCTGAGCCACCTGGGCTGCCCTTAAGTAGTCTTTACACCCAACATTAGGCTCAAACTCAAAACTCTGAGATCAAGAGTTAACAGTCTCTTCCTTCTCAGCCAGCCAGGTACCCCCCTACCTAATTCTTTTTAACCGTGAATGCTATTCATTTTATGGAGAATTATAATTTATCAGTCCCCTGTTTGGCATTTAAGTTGTTCACAGTGTTTTTACTATTATAAGCAAACCCTCAGTGATCATCTTTATATAGATACTTTTGTGAAATTATGAGAAAACACCTGGGGGGTAAATTCCCACAAGTGAAATTACTGGATAAAGGGTACATACATTTTTAGTTAAAAAAAATTTTTTTTAAATAATCACCCACACACACTTTTTCCTTCTTATTAAGTATTTTCTACACCCAGCGTGGGGCTTGAACACACAACCCAGAGATCAAGAGTCCTGTGCTTTTCTGACTGAGCCACCCAGGTGCACTCTACATTTTTAGTTTTAAAAATGCCAGTACCTTTCTGAAGAATTGAAAGCATCTTTTCTTGCCTATTTATATTCCCTTTTGTAAACTGCCATGTTAAGTTCTTTGTTCATTTTTCGATTACATTTTCTTTTTCATTTTGGCTTATGAGAATTGTGTTTTAGGAAATTAGCCTTTTTTTTGTGGAGTGTACTATAAGTACTTCTTTCCTATCACTTTCTACTTTTTTCAGTGTTATCTTTGCCATAGATAAGGCTTTTAATTTTTAATTTTATTTAAATTTTTTAATTCTTAAAATTATTAAGCTTTTTCTTTTTTGCTTCTTTATGGTTATGTCATGATTAAGGCCATTCCCACTCTGAGAATATGAAAATAACCACCCTTTCTTTCCCATGTTCATGGTTTCTTTTTCCATCTTTAATTTCTTGATACATAGAAAATTTATTTTGCTGTAAGGAGTTTCATAGAAATCAGCCTTCCCCTCTCCACCTAGATGGATAACTAGTTTCTTTAATGCTTTTTTATAACTGATATTTGCATGTTAACTGCATCATCTGAAGATGTAGAATTGTGTAGATTACTTTAATAAATGTAGAGTATTAAAGTGTATTTTAGTTCATGGTAGTTCGTCTTTAATACACACACCCTGGGGCACGTGGGTGGTTCAGTTGGTTGGGCATCTGTCTTCTGCTCAGAGGTAAGAATGTGGGGTCCTGACATCAAGCACCACGTCAGGCTCCCTTCTCAACAGGGACTTAGCTTCTTCCTCTCCCTGCTACTCTCCCTTGCTTATGTGTGCTCCCTCTCTTTTTTAAATGGATACATAAAATCTTTAAATATATATATATACACAACACCCTATTCTTGGGGCATAGTGCTATTTCAGAGTAGGAGATGAGTGGGTTGCTTTTTCTGTAACTGCCAATGATTTTTTTTTTAAGATTTTATTTTTATTTTATTTTTTTTAAGATTTTATTTATTTATTCATCAGAGAGAGAGGCAGGGACACAAGCAGAGGGAGAAACAGGCTCCATGCAGGGAGCCCGATGGGGGACTCGATCCCAGGTCTCCAGGATCACACCCTGGACTGAAGGCGGCGCTAAACCTCTGAGCCACCCAGGCTGCCCAAGATTTTTATTTTATTTTATTTTATTTTATTTTATTTTATTTTATTTTATTTTATTTATTTTATTTTATTTTATTTTATTTTATTTATTTTATTTTGTTTTATTTTGTTTTATTTATTTTATTTTTTATTTTATTTTTTTATTTTATTTTATTTATTTTATTTTATTTTTTTATTTTATTTTACTTTATTTTATTATTTTATTTTATTTTATTTTATTTTATTTTATTTTATTTTATTTTATTTTATTTTATTTTATTTTATTTTATTTTATTTTATATTTTCTTTTTATTTTTTTTTTTCCAAGATTTTATTTTTAAGGGCAGACTGGGTGGCTCAGCGGTTTAGCACCGCTTTCAGCCCAGGACCTGATCCTGGAGACTTGGGATCGAGTCCCATGTTGGACTCCATGCAGGGAGCCTGCTTCTCCCTCTGCCTCTGTCTCTGCCCCTCTCTCTCTCTCTCTCTCTCTATGTGTGTGTCTTTCATGGATAAATAAGTAAAATCTTTAAAAATTTTTTTTTTTATTTTTTAAGTAGTCTCTACACCCAACATGGGGCTCTAACCCACAACCCCAAGATCAAGAGGCCCATGCTTCACCAACTGAACCAACCAGGTGCCCAATTTAAAAAACTTTTAGGGATCCCTGGGTGGTGCAGCGGTTTGGCGCCTGCCTTTGGCCCAGGGCGCGATTCTGGAGACCCCGGATCGAGTCCCACGTCGGGCTCCCAGTGCATGGAGCCTGCTTCTCCCTCTGCCTGTGTCTCTGCCTCTCTCTCACTCTCTCTCTCTCTGTGTGTGACTATCATAAAATAAAAAAAATAAAAAATAAAAAAAAATTAAAAACTTTTAAAAAAAGAGACCAGTACTCACTCTTCATTGTAATAAATATCACTCTGTCTTTCTTTTTACTTGTTAATGCTATGAAAAAAATTCAGTTATGCTTGTAAAATAACAAGTATAAATCAAAGAAGAGTATTTTTAAGATTTTATTTATTTATTCATGAGAGACACACAGAGAGAGGCAGAGACATAGGCAGAGGGAGAAGCAGGCTCCTTGCAAGGAACCTGATGTGGGGCTCGATCCCAGGACCCCGAGATCACGACCTGAGGCAAAGGCAGATGCTCAACCACTGAGCCACCCAGGTGCCCAAGAAGAGTATTTTTATATTGATTAGAAATTACTCCATTTCTAAACTTAAATGTTTAGATTTTTATAAAGGTGACTAATTTCTCTTATAGCTGTTTGATATAATTGTGGACTTTGTAAAATGAATCAACCCAAAATTAAATCTAAAATCTTAACTTTCCTTTTCCTGTTTCTCTTCAGATTATGGATTGGATATGTCTACTTCTGGATGCTAACTTTACTGTTGTGGTAATGATACCAGAAGCAAAAAGGCTACTATTAAGTCTTTACAAATTTGTGAAATCCCAGGTGTGTGATTATTTGATATATATTGAGTTTCTTTTGTACCCAAGTATCACTTAAATTATAATGAAGCCTTAAATTTTTTATCTTGGAATAACTATAAGTAATCATGAAAGATTTGTTCTTATAGGAGTCACGGTAAAAGTCACTCTGAAACTTTTTCCTTTAGATATGCATTTGTTCCGAGCTCAACAAGATTGAAGTAAGTTTTCGTGAACTGCAGAAACTAAATCAAGAAAAGAATAATAGAGAATTATATTCTATTGAAGTGCTGGAACTCTTCTGATGTCACCAATTGTCCTTCATTGATATTTTATGAAGCTCTTTTATGTGAATCCTTCCTACTCATGCAGGCAAGAGATGTGTTTTGTTTGTGAGTGTCTCTCAGTGACAAGAGAAGTGTGTCAGCTAGAACCCGGACCATCACCTAGAGATGCTCCTAGGTTGGACTGTAGGTTGCACATGAACCTATTTTAGTTTATGGGAGTTGGGGGGGGAGAGGTTCTGAAACTTTTTTTAAATATGTAACTGAGCTGATTTTAAGTAAACTTATTTGTCTATTGATAAAAATCTAATTTCTTACGTGTGTTTTGATTAGTTCTTTTAGTAAAAAAAAAAAAGTTACCATTGAAACAGTGATTCTAAGAAGAATATAGTTTTATCAGAGAAGCTGTCTCAGCTCACCTGTGCTCACAGGAGACGGAGGAGGCCAATTCCATAAGCTGAGTAGGGAAAGGTCTTTGTACAGGCATATGCTTGTCTTCTACCACTTATGTCCTTTCCCTGCTTCCACTTAGCTTTACATGCTCAGAAGTTTAACAGTACCTCTTTCTATTTATTTATCTCAGATTATCTTCATAATTAGTTGGTAATTTAGGTTTTTGTATTACTAAATAGTAAAAAAAAAAAAAACTCTCTTAACACAGTTTTATGAGTTGATTGACCATAGAATTTCCCATTTTAACTCTTTGGATTTAGGACCATTGAGAGATTTTATGTAGACAAAATGGGTGTTTTGTTTCTTGAAAATAAACTCAAGTTTATATTTGTTAAAAATGAAATCATTCTTTCAGGTAATGAATTAAGATCCCTATACATAACTTGAAACATTTCTCAGCTATGCAGGTCTCTGTTGAGTAAATAATTTTGAAACCTGTTTTAATTTGAAGGGTAATACGTTAAAAATTTCTGTAAATTCTAGTGCAGAAATATAGATTCAGATGTGATTGTGAGGCCCAGAGTTACAGAATCCCAATTGCTTCAGTTAATTTGCATTGGAAAAAGCCTTCATTTTTAGGTCATTTACTTTCTATAAACTTTAGTTACAATTATGGCAATTAGCAGACAGCTTCTCAGTCTGCTTAATCTCTTTTTAATCCCAAGAGGAAAGAAACACAAGGGTAACCCCATATATTAACTGTCCTGCTTACTTTATATAATAGGACTTCTTGTTCACATTAAAGTGATACAGTACTTCTCAGCAGAAATAAAAATATAGGTTTTCATAGTAGTGCAGTTTCTGTATATGGTCCTTATAAGTGAATAAAACACTGATTTTTTAAAAACCTTTGTTGTAAAGCTTAATAATTAGGTTGTGATTATTATGGAAACATTCCTGATACTCAATGTAAGTGCAAACTGAGGTTGCCTGCACTCTGAGTCACTAAATTTACAAATAAGGATTTTATAAGGATATATAAAAACTTTTTTTTAAATTGAAGTAGAATTGAAAATAGACTCTTGTAGGATGAATTCTTCAAGCCAAGGATTGTGTCTTACCCTTTCTGCATATTAAACACAAGACCACTGACACATAGCGTTCAATAATTTTTTTTTAAGATTTTCTTTGTTTATTCATGAGAAATATAGAGAGGCAGAGACATGGGCAGAGGGAGAAGCATGCTCCCCACAGGGAGCTTGATGCTGGACTGGATCCCAGGACCCCGGCATCATGCCCTGAGCTGAAGGCAGACACTCAATCGCTGAGCCATCCAGGCATCCCTGTAAATGGTTATTGAATACAGTTATTAAATAATTGATCTTACCTGTCCAGCTATACTATAGAGTAATAATTCTGAGGGTTTGCAGTAATTTTTCTGGAAAGTAAGTCCATCTGGTGTTCACTACATATAGGCAGCGTACCTTTTGCCTCTTATTTCTTGTAACACCAAACTATATCTCATTTGTGTCTTATGACATATTATGTCTATAAAAATAAAGTTTGTTTATCTTATTATTTTATTTTTTATTTTACTTTTTTGAGATTTTATTTATTTATGAGAGACACAGAGAGAGGCAGAGACACAGGCATAGGGAGGAGAATCAAGTTCCATATAGGAGCCTGATGTGGGACTTGATCCCGGAACTCTGGGATCACGTCCTGAGCCAAAGGCAGATCAACTGCTGAGCCACCCAGGCGTCCCAAAAGAGTCGTTTTTTATTTTTATTTATTTTTGAAGATTTTATTTGTTTACATTTAAAAAAAAAGATTTTGTTTATTCATGAGACACAGAGAGAGAGACGGAGTCATAGGCAGAGGAAGAAGCAGGCTCCATGCAGGGAGCCCAATGTGGGACTCGATCCCGGGACTCCAGGATCACATCCTGAGCCCAAGGTAGACACTTTACTGCTGAGCCACCCAGGCGTCCTGTTACATGCTCTTCTGATTGAGCCAGCCAGGTGCCCTTGGATCATGTATAATAACTTTTTTTTTTCATGTATAGAACTTTTAAAACAAAGATGGACTTTTTGCCCTAACTCCTTTAAAAAGTTTTTAGTCCATGGATGCCTTGGGTGGCTCAGCAATTGAGAGTCTGCCTTTGGCTCAGGGCATGATCCTAGGATCCAGGATTGAGTCCCACATCAGGCTTCTTGCAGGGAGCCTGCTTCTCCCTCTGCCTATGTCTCTTGCCTCTCTCTGTGTGTCTCATGAATAAAATAAATTCTTTTTTAAAAAAATTAAAATTAAAAAAAAATAAAATAAATTAAAATTAAATTAAAAAATTAGTCCCAAAACAGTTTTTTTTAAGCAAAACAGTTTTCAGATAAAAGAATGAAGACCCATTTATTCTTTTTTTTTTAAAATTTTTTTTTTAATTTATTTATGATAGACATACACACACACACACACACAGAGAGAGAGAGGCAGAGACACAGGCAGAGGGAGAAGCAGGCTCGTTGCACCAGGAGCCCGACATGGGATTCGATCCCGGGTCTCCAGGATCGCGCCCTGGGCCAAAGGCAGGCACCAAACCGCTGCGCCACCCAGGGATCCCAAGACCCATTTATTCTTGACCTAAACTTTCCTGTTGGTAACATTTTGCCATATTGCTTTTACCACTCTATATATTTTTTCTTTCTCTAATGAATCATTTGAGGGTTATTTGCAAACATCCAGGTTAATCCCATAATTCAGTTTAATCCCATAAGTACATCATTTTAATCCTCTAAAACAAGATTGTTATTTTACATGACCACAATGCAGTTATCAAATTCAGGAAAAATAATTTTTTTAAAAGATTTTATTTATTCATGAGAGACATAGAGAGAGAGAGGCAGAGACACAGGCAGAGGGAGAAGCAGGCTCCATGCAGGGAGCCCGATGTGGGACTTGATCCTAGGATTCCAGGATCACACTCTAGGCCCGAAGGCAGGTGCTAAACCGCCGAGCCAGGGGGTCCCTGGATGGCTCAGCGGTTTGGCACCTGCCTTTGGCCCAGGGCGAGATCCTGGGGTCCTGGGATCGAGTCCCACGTTGGGCTCCTGTCATGGAGCCTACTTCTCCCTCTGCTTGTGTCTCTGCCCCTCTTTCTCTCTGTGTCCATCATAAATAGATAAATAAATCTTTAAAAAATAAAAAAAGGGCTGCCCTGGTGGCGCAGCAGTTTGGCGCCACCTGCAGCCTGGGGTGTGATCCTGGAGACCTGGAATCGAGTCCCATGTCGGGCTCCCTGCATGGAGCCTGCTTCTCCCTCTCCCTCTGCCAGTGTCTCTGCCTCTCTCTCTGTGTCTATGAATAAATAAAATCTTTAAAAATAAATAAATAAATAAAAAATAAAAAAATAAACCAGCGAGCCACCCAGGCGTCCCAAATTCAGGAAATTAGTATTAATACAGTACTACTTGGAATGATTAGAGTCTTTTTTCAGATTTCTACAATTTTCTTAGCAATGTCTCCTATACCTGGACTTTTTCCTGCTAAAATGCATTCAAGGAGCTTGCCTTGTAATTATTTTTCATGTTTCCTTAATCTCCCTACATATTGTATTTTGAGAAATCATTTTGCTGATGTCTGTCAATTTGGATTTATTTTTTTAAATAAATTTATTTTTTATTGGTGTTCAATTTGTCAACATACAGAATAACACCCAGTGCTCATCCCGTCAAGTGCCCATCTCAGTGCCCGCCACCCAGTCACCCCCACCCCCACCTACCTCCCCATGACAATTTGGATTTATCTTGTTTTCGCGATTAGATTCAGATTAAACGTTTTTGACAGGGAATGCTACAGAGAAGGCACAGCATCAGGAACCATTGATGTGACTTGTCCCATCATAGGTGATGTTAAATCGGATCACTTAGTTAAGGTAGGGTTTACTAGATTGCCTCTGCCTTTCCCTTTTGTAACCCCAGAAGTAACCTGTATATATCTTTGAGACTTTGTGATTATCTTATTCTGGAATATTCTCCAACAGTGGCTTTAGATCTATTGATAATTTTTCCCTGAATCAGTTTTTTTTTACTTAGGTGGTTGTGATTGGAAATTGTGAAATTGTTTTGACATAAAGTTCACTTTAAAACTGAACGCTGTGCTGTATAGCCACAATTGTCATCTCTGCCGTCTGCTTTCTAATCTGTAGATGGATGGCCATATACATGGATAGAGTTGTTTCACAAATTTAAATAGCTATTATATTTGAACATGTACTGCGTGATCTATTTTTTCCTCTTTCTTTTCTTTTTTTTTTTTTAAGATTTTATTTATTTATTCATGAGAGACACAGAAAGAGAGGCAGAGACATAGGAAGAGGGAGAAGCAGGCTTCCTGCAGGGAGGACGATGCAGGACTCAGTCCCCAGGCCCCAAGATCACCCCCTGAGCTGAAGGCATACACTCAACTGCTGAGCCACCCAGGTGTCCCTATTTTTTTCATTTAATATTTTCATAAAAACATTTTTACATAGTTAATATATTTCAATTCTTAAAAGTTTTCAGACTCAGAAAAATCTATGCCTGAAAAGGATTACCAGTAATTTATTCCTAAATGTTGTGTCTCATGCAGTTCCCACAGCTTTGTACTTAGCAAAACTGACGTGTGACTTTAGATTATACCATTCCACTTCTTTATTTTTTTTTTTTTCATTCCACTTCTTTAAATCATCATCATTATAATTTTGGGACACTTAAAAGCATACCCAAATTAGGAGAATATTTTGAATTCTGTTTGCTATAGACAAATTTAAGTACATGTTAAAAATTCTGGACAACTTTTCTGAAGAGTCATCATTTTATTTACTTACTTATTTTTAAAGATTTTATTTATTTGACAACAAGAGAAGGAGAGAGAGAGAGCACAAGTAGGGGGAAAGCAGAGGGAGAAGGAGAAGCAGATTTCCTGCTGAGCAGGGAGCTGGATGCAGGGCTCCATCTCAGGACCCTGAGATCATGAGTAGGGTAAAGGCAGGCACTTAACCAACCAAGCCACCTAGGCACCTCAAGAGTCCTCTTTTTTGTTGTTGTTGTTAAAGATTTATTTATTCATAAGACAGAGAGAGAGAGGGAGGCAGAGACATAGGCAGAAAGAAAAGCAGGCTCTCCCCAGGAAACCTGATTATGGGACTTGATCCCTGAACTGGGGATCACACCCTAAGCTGAAGGCAGATGCTTAATCGCTGAGCCATCTAGGTGTCCCAAGAGTCATCATTTTAAGTTACTTCCTCCCAGAACCTTGTCATATCTTAAGAAAGCAATGTACTATTATTAAAGCTGTTTGGATATTTTATTATTTTATTTTATTTTTTATTTTATTTTATTTTATTTTAGAGAGAGAGAGAGAGAAGGAGCATAAGTAGGGGAATGAATGGGGAGAGGGAAAGGGAGAGAATATCAAGTAGATTCCACACTGAGTGCAGAGCCTGATGTGGGGCTCAATCTCATGACCCTGAGATCATAACCTGAGTTGAAATAAAGGGTCAGACACTTAACTGACTAAGCCACCCAGGCACCTCAGATAAACTTGTGGTTTTGTGTATTACAGATTTCCTTTCTAATACAATTCAGATCCGAGGTGCTATGCTCTTCTATACTTATTTTAAGACAAGATACTGTAATTTGGTGTTTAATCTTATGAATATGACTCTGAATTACTGTTTAATTTTGTGTAGGAAAAATTTTGTATAAGACCTGCTTCACAGTAGTCCTTGGAATGTAGTTTATAGGAACACCTTGTGTGATGGGGTGCCATTTATATAATGCTCAATAGATTATCTGGTAGGTTCTAAATACCTATGGCATGAATATGCAGATAGCAGAAAGCACTTTTGCTCCTAAGACCTAGCAAATTTTCCCATCAAACCCAGAGCTCCTTAGGTGGTAACCATCAAGGCATGGGATCAAAATTTAGGTGGTTTAAGTCTGGAATAGGTAAAAGTGAAATTGTCTAATTTTAAGGATGAAAGAATGATTTGAATTAGAGAAAAAAAATTAGTAGTATCTATGTAGAACAGATTAGAGATCATGGACAACTTGTTGAGTGAAACACCAAAAAATTAAGTGCCCGAAAGGCACCTTACTATCTCCGTTGGTAGAGTGTGCAGCTCTTGATCTTGGAGTTGTACATTTCAGCCCCATGCTGGGCATAGAGCTTACTTTACAGATTTTATTTATTTTAGAAAGAGAGAGAGAGGGAGGGGGACAAGTAGACTCGTCGCTGAGAGTGGAGCCCAATTGGGGGCTTAATCCCAGGACCCTGAGAGCAGGCCTGAGCCGAAACCAAGACTCAGATGCCCAATTGAGTATGCCACACAGGCACCCCAAGATTACTTAAAAACTAACTGCCCTGGAAGGGAAGAGGGAATTTATGAAAGGGGTGCATTGTTGCCAAAAGGACATTATTTAAAAAACTCTTTCACCTCTTTGGTTCCATATTCCCCACACAATGGACACTGATTTGCTTTCCCAGAAACACAAATACTGGGACACCTGGCTGGTTCAGCAGTTGAGTGCCTGCCTTTGGCTCGGGTCCTGATCCCGGAGTCCTGGGATCAAGTCCCACATCAGGCTTTCTGCATGGAGCCTGCTTCTCCCTCTACATATGTCTCTGCCTCTCTCTCTCTGTCTTTCATGAATAAAGAAATAAAATCTTTAAGAAAAAAAAAAAGGAAACAAATACCTTAGTATGAGAGGTGATGAGGTACCTACATTTTCTAGATTAACAAGTTAAAGTTCTTTTTTGGGGGGGTGGGGCCTAGACCTTATCTAAAAAAATAAGTAAAACAGGGATGCCTGGATGACTCAGTATGCTTGCTAAGTGTCCAATTCTCGGTTTGGCTCTGATTGTGATCTCGGTTATGGGATCAAGACCCATTTTGAGCCATACGCTTAGTGGAGAGTCGGCTTGAGATTCTCACTCCTCCTCCCTCTCCACCTCTCGCTGTGTTTTCTTGCTCTAAAATAAATAAGTCTGTATATTTTATATATATATATTTCATGTGAACCTAATTATCCTTGGCCACTTTTCATTTCTGGATGAATTTGTATGCGTTAGTGTCTTATTTGGATATTTTGTTAAAGTCATATGTTAAATTGTATGCCATATAAGGTATAGTTAGAGTATAGATGTTTTATTTTACTTTAAAGTGAACTTGGAGGGGCACCTGGGTGGCTCAGTGCTTGAGCATCTGCCTTCAGCTCATGTTGTGATCCTGTGGTTCTGGGATCCAGTCCCTAATTGGGCTCCCTGTGGTTCTGGGATCCAGTCCCTAATTGGGCTCCCTGTGGGGAGCCTGCTTCTACCTGTGCCTGTGTCTCTGCCTCTCTCTCTGTGTCTCTCATGAATAAATAAATAAAATATTAAAAAGAAAAGATTGATGTTTTCTTTTTTTCATTTCTTTGTATTATGGGCAGTTTCAAACATAACAAAAGAAGAGTATAATGAATCCCAAATATGTATTCCCCAACTTCAGCCGTGATCTGTACTTTCCCAATTCTGTTTTATTGATACCTCCTCTTAGTGCCACTCCTTACATTATCCCAGACATCAGATAATTTCATCTCTGAATATTTTATTCATTTATTTTTACAAGTTATTTGAATCGGGACAAGTAAAGTTTACCCATTGTAATGGTTGATAAGTCTCATGGTGGTTTTTTTTTTTTTTTTGTAAGATTTTATTTATTTATTCATGAGAGACACAGAGAGAGAGAAGCAGAGACACAGGCAGAGGGAGAAGCAGGCTCCATGCAGGGAGCCTGATGTGGGACTCGATCCTGGGTCTCCCAAGATCACACCCTGGGCTGAAGGCGGCACCAACCTGCTGGGCCACCAGGGCTGCCTTACATGATGTTTAATATATAGACCGCCTTACCATCTCTTGTTTGTTTGTTTCTTTATTGCATTGATTGAAGAAATTAGGGCATTTGTCCTGTAGGATTTCTAGTCTGGGTTATGCTGATGTTTTTATTGTATCATTTTTTAAGTTCTCTTAATTCAGATATCCTCTAAATTGGTATTTGGACCTAGAAACTTTATGAGATTCTGGTTCCTTTGGGTTTCAATTTATAATTTTATAATAAGCTATTTAAACTTTTCAGGATACCCTAAGTATAAATTAATAGTTTACTTCTGTTATAGGTAAGTGTGTGTTTAAGTTACTTGTGTTTAGGGTTTCAGAGGAAGTTTTGTGTTTTTTTTGTTTGTTTGCTTTAAAGATTTTATTTATTCATGAGAGACCACAGAAAGAGGCAGAGACACAGGCAAAGGGAGAAGCAGGCTCCATGCAGGGAGCCCGTCGTGGGACTCGATCCCAGGTCTCCGGGATCAGGCCCTGGGCTGCAGGCGACGCTAAACCGCTGCATCACCAGGGCTGCCCTCAAAGGAAGTTTTGTCTGTACTTCTATCTTTAATGAGTAGTGCTGTTTCCTGTTGTATTTTTGATGCTAAATATTTCTCTGAAATAATTCTACTGGCAATATGTGGTTGCATTTTCTATAGGGTAGAATTTTTTTTTTTAAGATTTATTTATTTATGATAGAGAGAGAGAGAGAGGCAGAGACAAAGGAGGAGGGAGAAGCAGGCTCCATGCCGGGAGCCCGATGTGCGACTCGATCCCGGGACTCCAGGATCGC